TAGAGAGACGAGAGAGAGAGAGGAGAGCGATATATAATATATATAATATTATATATAATATATATGATGATAATTATTATTATATAACCTTATATAATATATATATATATATATATATATAATCTAATATCTATTTATCTTATCTATATCTATATCTATATGCATCTTAATCTATATCTATATCTATATCTATATCTATATCTATATATCTATATATATCTATATATCTATATATATATCCATATCTATATCTATCTATCTATCTATCTGTCTATCTATCTATCTATCTTTTTGCTCGCTAATCACCTTTTGGTCTCCCGTTCGCAGATCGGAGTCATGGTTGTCGTACGAACATGGGTTTCAGTTTTGATCCTAAACCGCATTGATAGTGATGCACCTTGGTTTTCCTCTGGTCATGATTCCCCACGGTCATGCCCGAACGTTTTTCCTTGGGCGAATGTTCCGCAGGCGCTGCCTGAAGAGCACTAGGCCCTTCACGGTGAAGAGCATTGCGTTGCTTCCCTGAACTGGCGCGTCTGAGAAAGCCCTCGTTACCTAACAAATGAGTCGGTCTCTTGGAACCTGGGAAATCGTAAAGTATGGCTATGCGCCCCCAGCTGGTATCAGGTGTGGTACATATCCTGCGAGACGCACATGATTCCTCACTCAATTAACGCAATATTTTACCGTAGACATGTTTTCACTGAAACACAGGCTGCCAACTATTCATGATGATCATGATGACGCCTGTTTGCTGGTACCGTTCGGCTCCTGCGCATGCGCAGGCGGTGCCATCGGCTTCGGAACGACGGCGCCGACATTGGCAAAGATGATATTTTCTAAGGCCATCATCGGAGCCTCGAATGCGAGCGAGAACACGACGGCCGCTGCAGTCGACACGGCGAGCGTCGCCAGAAAGGCTCATACGGTCGTCGTGTGGTCAAAGTACAGCACCGACTTGAGGGTCGCGTAGAAGAAGAGCTGGGTGTCGATGGAGACGAGGTAGCAGCAGTACGTGACGCGTCTGAGCGGAATCCAGAACTTCCAGGAGAGTAGCGTGTTGATGAAGCCACCGTACCCCTTGGACACAGGCGATCACCACCCACGCCAGGCACATGGCCCAGGCGGGCCGATTCAGGGCAGCGTACACGATAGACGCAGTCTTGGACGGCACCGCGAGCGGCGGCGCACTCGAGTAATCGTACAGACCGTAGACGACGAGGCAGGCGGTGAGCGCCGCGACCAGCCAGCTGGCCAGCGCAACAGGCAACGTCATGTGCAGTCGTCTGCCACGGCGCCGGTGCAGGAACCAGCCGGTGCACACGTCCATCAGGTACATGCCGTAGCGACACGAGGGCACGAAGTAGCGTAACGACACGTCGCCTCCGCTCGGGCCCAGGCCGTTGTAGTCGGTGACGTAGCCGGTGATGAACATGTTAAGCCCGATAAGAAATATGAGCCAGATTTGACCGATGGTCGGGTAAATGTACAGCGGCAACGGGACAATGGGCGACAAGACAAATATCTGCATGTCATTAGCAAGGTACCATGTCTGACCCAGGCACATATTGTCTGACTCGTACAGATTGTTGATGTACACAGGGTTCTTCCACCAGTATTTTCTGCACAAGTAAGGGTTTCCAGAGAGAGTGGTCTGACCCCTACATGAACCGTCACCGAGGTGTGTGTAGATGGTCGCGACAAAGCCGATGACCGTCGCCAGGACTGGCGTTAGCCGGATATACCGGTGGACGTAAACATGACGATGTTAAACTTGCCCTGGGTCTTCGCCATGTTTCTCGGAAAAATGTAGGCGACGAGAAGCCCACTGAGGAAGAAAACGAATCGACGGAGACAGTAGCGTTGTCAACGGCAGTGAACGCCAACGAATTAAGAATGTTGAAGACGGAATATTGATTTATTCATGGCACGGAAAATAATTCCACAACGTATTGATGACCCAGGATAACCTATGTCATGGACAGAAAACGAATCCCGTGAAGACATCCCAATGTATCACTCGATGCAGATGTGTCTAAAATCTTTCTCCCATTTGTCCACACCGAAAACGCCAAAAACACCTGCTGTAGAGTATCTGGCATTTTCCCCCTGAATGTGCGATCGATGGGGATGCTTAAATTTGCGTCAGATTCCCTGGCACTTTCCCTGATAACATCAATAAAGGTGCCGACAGCCATGAATAGGCCAGTGACACAAATGGTGCTCAGCACGGCGATATCACCCGTACTGAATGTAGCCTTCTCGCCCTCTACATGACAGTCGGTTTCAAGGAGGTCGACTTGCAGGCTGGGCATTTTATGCTGAAGGCTCAGCCTCATTCGGCAGAGCAAGATGAAGGGACGCAGAGTCCAATGGAGGCGGATGGCAAGAAGGCCCAGAAATTTGAATAATTGGTGCAAGTATCGGTTCCAAACCCACCATTCCAGCCTTTTGATCAGCTTGACCACTAAGCAGGTTCTTCCGCTTCTCGGTTATGTTAACGGGAAGATGGAATTGCGGCCGACAGTGCTTGCCCCCAAATTGCCTTCCTTTCGGGGGGATGAGTCCATCAACATCGTGGAAACTCGCCTGCACACTCAGACACTCGTCCCAGTTGCCCATGTAGTTCAGGTTGCTCAGTACGCCGTCGGGTACCTTCCCATCTGTGTCGAACATCATCAGCGCCCAGGAGATGTTGGAGAGGATGCTGGTGGCGTACGGCCAGCTGTGGTTCAGACAGAGCGCCGAGATTCCTTGTGCCAGCATGGGCGTGATGTAAGGCCCGACGAACAGAGCAACCAGCAGGTTGGCGATGTCGGCCGGCAGCGCCTGCTCCGTCCGCAGCTGCTCCGGCAGGGCTTCATGCAGCTCGAGCGCGCCCGTCTGCTGCAGAAACTCCTGGGTGGTGGGGCGGTGCCGGCTGCGCTCCGCCAGCTGCTGCAGGCCGGCGAGACGAGCCCAGGAGGGGTCCGGCAGCTCTCAGCGCAGCTCCAGCAGATCGTCGGGGGCGGCCAGGCCGGCTGCGCTCCGCCAGCTGCTGCAGACCGGCGAGACGAGCCCAGGAGAGGTCCGGCAGCTCTCAGCGCAGCTTCAGCAGGTCGTCGGGGGCGGCCAGGTCGGCTGCCGCTAGTGCGGATGCCAGCAGGAGCAGGCGGAGACACAGCGCAATGGTCGGGGTGCCGCCGCCACGCGGCTCACTGAAGACGAGGACGGCCCGCCCCCCACTCGGGCGGCTGCCGTGGCTTCACAGGTTGCGCCACTGACTGGCTGGCGAAGATCGCTGGTCATTATCGCTACCCTCGTGAGGTAGCTATACAGATCGCTCAGGGCGTGACTGGAACAAATCAGAGGCGAGCTGTTTCAACAAAGGTGGTTGATATGATATGATTACGCCTTAGGATAACACTCGAACCAAAGTGTTTCGCAGACTTGGGAGCAGCATGGGCCGTGGTACGTGGCCGTGGACGTAGTCTTTTGTGAACGCAAAAAGTTATTTCCATGGTGATGCATAAACACATGTGATAAACATGTAGCGTATTTTTTCACGTTTTGAGCGCTTGCAGACGCACTTGAAATATTCAACTTCCGAACAGGCTCCCTGTGGAGGAGCAAGACAGCCAACTGTTTTGTTTAAACCTCATCGAATATTACAATGTTCGGGTACCCATGGGCACTCGGGTGCCCATGAAGAGTGTCTCTGAGAGGTTTTCATTGGCGCTCGTCAACGCCACACGCCAGTGACCGTGGTAGTTCTGTAAGTGGTCATTTACAACGCACGGCATACATGAAGAGTGTGTCTGAGAGGTTTTCACTGGCACTCGTCAACGCCATACGCCAGTGACCGTGGTAGTTCTGTAAGTGGTCATCTACAACGCACGGCTTACTTTTTACCAATAACAACTCTCAGTGACAAATATTTACGCACTCTTGTAATCGCTCCCTTGGAAGGCGCCAAATTATCCTCGCGCAGCCTTCAATCCTTGTGACTGAAGCTGAGGCCACAATCCTTTAATTTCCCACAAATAAACTACCAGCAATGGAGACAGGCAAGTCACTTGTGCGTATAACAACTGTCCCCGTCTGACAGAACCCTGCACAAAGCAAAGAACCGAGGCCCAGATCGGCCCGTGACAAGCTGACCGTCGCCAGCGCCGTCCTCGGCCTGACGCAGGCCTCCCGTCAGCAGAAGGAGGCAGTTCTCCGACCGTGACGGACGGAAGACAGCTCTTATAGGACGCCTCACCGCTTAGAACGGCATGGCCTATGGACTTGACACTACGGGAATACCATATGACATCATATGACAGGCAGGAACGGATCCTCGCCTGCATGTGGTGGACGTGTCGTTTCACGATAATCTTCGCCTTTTCCACTGTACTGCGAAGGATTTTTTATTCTTCCTTTCCCTCTTCCGGCATGAACGTGAGAAATTTTGCGCCACTAGTGGTCATTGCTTTTACATGCACCAGTAAATAATACGTCCATAATTTCCTAAAATCGTCTGTGTTTCGCGGTCCTTTGGCGCGACGCCCCGCCAAACAAGTAACTGTAGATGCACTGAGCCCATCGCAATGCACTGTTCCCTGCGCGTTCCATACCTGTAATCATCCAAAGTCAACAACACTGCCAAACTAACACCAGCTGAACACATGCTCGAACATGAGCGCTGTCAGCTTTCGCAGAATGCGAGCAGCGCATGGCAGCAGCCGGCGTCGAATTCGGTGAGTCCGCCACGCGGAACCGCGTGCTCGCCCGGTGACCACGTGGCACCAGCGGACGACATTCACCAATAAGAGACGTGCGCCTCCGTGAGCGGCCGAGTTCCGGCAAAATCGCGGGATTTCTCCCGTCTCAGGCCGCGCGACAAACTAGTGTATCGGCCAACTTCGGGGATGCGTGAAAAGATATGCGACGTGACACGAGAGGTTTTAAATGTGCCAGGAGAGCCCAGGCGTGCACCTGGTCTCGATGAAACAGTTCGGGTCTGATCTCGGAAGTCCCCGTCCTCTCTCCGACAGAGTTCCAGCGTCAGTGCGTTAAGCCCGAGTGGCCCGTGAACAAAATTGTGAGAAGTTCCTTGGTAATAGGGGTGCTCGCCTTGCAGAGGTTGAACTGGCTTTTTGTCTGCACCGCGGTAGATCACGGGGTTCGAGCTGCTCTTAAGATCCCGATTAAGATGGACAAGACCTGCCGTGTAATGACACTTGTCGAGACTACTTCATCGGGTCCCGTTGCGATTGACCTGAAACACTGGCTTTATTCAGCATCACAGCTGTGCACCCAGCCGACAAATACATGAGTTTTTGGCGACTATCGGAGAGCATGGGATTTTTAGGAAAACTGGTTGATAACAACAAACAGCATGACACTCTGTAGCATAAGTTCATGGAGCTTTGTTTTATTTTGGTGCAAACGTTTTCATGTCCTTACATTTTTCACAAGAGGCCATGGATGGTATAGTTATATTTGTGCAGATTGCCGCCATACTTTGCTCTTTGATCTTGAAGAATATGTGTTGTCTAGGTGTCTATTCGACTGCGAGATAGGCAACTGCCTCGCAGTTTGCTTTTTCAGCCAGCGCGTGAAGCCACATGTTGACACAGAAGAGATTCAGCCCCATGTCATTTTATATGCACCACTCATTGACGGGGGGTACGGCACACTTCTACTTATTTTGATAAAAAAAACCTCTGGACCTCTAAGGCCTCTTCGCGATCCAGGCTTAACAGTACGCATCAAAGTATCCATCTTCGCAAAACAAAACAGCAGCGTTGTGTTAATTTCGTCTCCGAGTGCGGTCTGAAACATGCGTCGGCCTTGTTTGCCATCACAGTTGGCGATGTCTTACTCAAAATACGCACAAATTAACACGAATGTAAGCAGAGGTGTACCTTTGTGCAGCGGTGGTAGACATATATTTTGTGTCGCTGACCGAATTTCGGCGACCAACATGGTCGCCAGCAGCTTAACGCGATACTTTATAACAAGAAATGGCAGTGACGCCCATGCCCAGCGGCGTAATCAGCTTGCAATCAGCGTAATCGGCGCCTCACCGAAAACCTCCTTAATCACCGCAACTTGCAATATCACGCACACAGCCGCAGCAATCATTTATGCAATAGCATTCAACGGCTGCCAGAATGTCTGTTGGTGCGAAGAATGCAGGCACACAGGCCCTTCACCCTGGAATAGTTCAATCACAAAAGCAGTCTTCCTTCACCCTCGGGACTTACCGTGTCCTCACATTCAAGCTCGATCTACGGCTGCATTTGTCATCCTCGAACGCGAAAAAACCGCGAAGGACCTCGACAGCCAGGGCACAAGACAAAATTGTAGCCGGTGCCAGGCAGCACTGAGGGATGACGCGCAGGCCTACTCGAGGCTGTCTCCTTATGGAAACCACGTGTGCGCTTCGAGCCCGACCTCAACCAACATCATGCTCTCCACCACGCCTCAGGCACGCTCCAAGCCTGACACGGTATGTGTTGCCTGATGGGCGCCTTTCTATGCGCCACAGCAATTGGTTGTACAGGCTTAAAATGGGTTTCTAGGCTGCCTGGAAAGGAAGGAGCAATACAATGGGTTCCGGGTAGGGCTCAGATTGAGGTGAAGGCGACTTCGCAAGAGCTGGGCAAGAGGTAGTAGGGACGCACAGGAAGAAAGATGCGTCTTTGTTATCCAGAGAAACGCAGTGAATAAGAAGCAGCGCTTCCCTCGATGAAAGCCTCAGCGAGTCCGGGTCCAGATGGATTTACCGTGCCGTCTTACAAAATCTTCTGGCATGGATCAAAAAAGCCCATTTCATCTGCTATAATTGAAATGTTTAAGGTGGGAACTATTCTGAATATCATTGAGCGCATCGTAATTGTTTTAGTACCGAAAAAGAACAGATATCGATGACAAATATCGAAGGGATTGTCTCCAGCCCGTCAGCCTGCTAAACGTTGTACGCGAAGTATAAAGAAAAGCCTTGTCACGAAGACTGAATGCGATAATGAATGAAATAATGAACGAAGGTCAGACAGGTTTTCTTCCCGGTAGGCGTATAGGCGAAAATCGGCGGCTAATTATCAACATAGTTCAACAGGCAATAATCCACAATACGCCTGGACTGACACTGTTCTGCGATTGGCGTAAGGCATATGATTCGATGGACCGGAGATAGCTGAAAAGTGCCGCCAAAACATTCGATTTCGGACCTAATATTCAGAAGTGGATTAGCTTGATGTGCGATCAGACTGGAGTCACCCAGAGCAGTGTTCTCGTGCAGATTAACTGCCATCTGTCAGAGCCCTACGTGATAGACAAAGGCCTCCGTCAAAGATGTCCCCTCAGCTGCCTGCTATTCCTGATTTCAACTGAGCCCGTGGCTCAAAAAAATCAGGTGCTGTAGCGACATTAGCAGGCCTACCATCGGTGACGGAGAAATTATGGACGGCTCCGATCAATCCTTTAGGGCATGTTTTAAATGTTTCGATGCTCATCGAGATTATCAGGCCTATCCCTGAAAAAGACGCGAGGGGTCTGGATAGGTCAGGACCGAAACCAAATAGAGTCTATTTGTCCAGAGATTGTAATATCGTGGAAGCGCAGCTCAATAGATTACCTTGGAGTAAAACTAACCCCGACATGTGAAGACCTGGGAAATGTAAATTATCCGGAAACAATTAGAAAGGTTGAAAGTCAAACTTAACCCGTGGTTCGGGCGTGGCTTAACTGCATACGGTATACTGCATGTGATAAAGTCAGAGGCTCTCTCGCAGCTTATATATCTAATGACTCTCTTAGAAAAGTCAAATCATGCGTCCACAAAGAAATGGTCCGCATAAAGAAGTTGCTTTATCCAGAGAACAACGCTAAATGGAGGGAAATACTGCAATGAAACCAGAAACAAATGCCGTAATATCATTGCCGTAATGTGATATTAATTCTAAAAGGTGTTGAAATTTCTGGATGGGTGTAAGTTTTGGTCAGAAACATTAAATGCTTGGATATAAATCGTGCACTCATTACAGCTCAAACTCTCAGGAGCAAGCATATTGGCTAAATTCACTTGGAACAACAATGATATGAACCTTGAACAGAATGCATCATTTAACAAGCACCAACTGATTCACCGGTTCGTCGTTCAGATAAACGACATTTATAACCGCCGGAACCGGAAGCTCCTTAACGCAGACCAATTGCAAATACAATTCGGATATGGGCATTTTTTAGCACGGCGGTATAAACTGAATGCCATTGAAATACCCCGTTCTTGGAAAGGAGTGCTTGCTCAGGAAAAGCTC